GTGGGAGGTGGGGCTGGGGCTGGCGGTCAGCCCCCCACCGCGCCCCAGCGTGGGGACGCCAGTCCCAGGCTCCTGACCGGACCTGAAGCCCTGCGTGGTGCCACAGTGTCCTGGGAGCTGAGGCAGCAGGCCTGCAAATTCGAGCCCACCCTGGGTAACTTGGTGACTTTTTTATGAGAACCTGTGGTCATTTTCTTTTAACAAAGGCAGAGGATGTAGCTCAATGTGAAGACACTGGGTTCAATCCCCACTCTAGCCAAAAAGTAGAAGAAAAAAAGAGACTACAGAATGGGAAAAGTTTTGCCAGCTATTCCTATATGGAGGACTCATGTCTAGAATATAAAGAGGGCCTGGGATTTAGCTCTCTGGTTCCACCACCAGCCTCAAAAGCACAGGGTCCGGAGTTCGATCCCTGGTACCAAAATAAAAGAACTGAAAAATCTTAGACTCCCCCCAAAAAACCGAAAGACCCAATCAAAAAAATGGTCAAGTTGGCCAGGAATTTGGCTCAGTGGTTCCTCCACCTGCCTCACAAGCACAAGGGCCCAAGTTTCATCCCCAGTACCAAAAGGGGCAGGGGGCAAGTGAACTGAATAGACCACACTTCCGAAGAAGTGCAGTGGGCAGGGATGGAGCTCAGTGGCACCGCTCCTGCCTCACAGGGCAAGGTCCTGAGTTCGATTCCTGGTACCAAAAATAAAAATGTACAAATGGAGTTGCGTGTGGTGGCGCATGCCTATGGTTCCACCATTCAGGAGGCTGAGGCAGGAGGATCACTGCAAATTCGAGGCCAGCCCGGCCTATATAACAAGAACCTGTCTCAAAAAAAAAAAAAAAAAAAAAAGGAAAACTTAGAAGCAATTATAAATCAATCATTGGGTAGAGACATAGGCTTTAGATAAGAACTTTTGTGTATACGTAGCCTTTCAAAGCTGAGGCTCAGTTTTAGGAGGGCTTTCCTAGGTCTCCCTCCTGACAAGGTCGGAGACCCCCATTTCTTACTGTGTAGCCAGTTAGCTTCTAAGAAAACTGATGAGAGATTTAGCAACTGGAGTGCTGTTTGCGCCTTGGCCACCAGAAGGAAAGGAGCATTTATTTAAAGTGGCCTCTAACCCCAGCACTAGGGGAGGCTGAGGCAGGGGGATTATAAATTTGAGCCCAGCCTGGGCAACTCAGCGACTTAGGAAGAACTGTCAAACAACACAATTGTTTTAAAGGGCAGGGAATGCAGCTCAGTGGGAAGGCCCTGGGTTTTATCCTCAGAACTGTAAAAAAAAAAAGTGCTTGGAGCCGTGAAGGCTGCAGTCTCACCTGCCTGCCACCCCTCTCTGACAGGTCTCATAATGCTGGAGGAGCTACACCAGCAGGTGTTAAAGGGAAGGGGCAAGTTCGCACAGGACGTCAGCCAGTACGTTTCACCTTCTAAGCCCTTGGAGAAGGAGACTGGACAAGCCAGGCGTGGTGGCACAGGCCTGTAATCCCAGCACCTTGGGAGGCTGTGGCAGGAGGATCCCAAGTTCAAGGCCAGCCTGGACATTTAGCAAGAGTGTCTCAAAAATAAAAAATTTTTAAAAGGGCTGAGCACATAGCTCAGTGTGAGGGCCATGGGTTCAGTCCCTTGTACTTAAAAAGTCAGAGGGAGAGCTGGGTGAGCACACCTGTACTACCAGCCATTCAAGAGGCTGAGGCAGAATCGCCTCAAGTTCAAAGCCAGCCTGGGTTCCATAGTGAGTTCAAGGCCAGCCTGAACTACATGTTGAAACCCTGTCTCAAAAAAAAAATGTAAAAAGGCCGGGAGTGGTGGCGCACGCCTGTAATCCCAGCACTCGGGAGGCTGAGGCAGGAAGATCGCTGAGACCAGCCTGGGCTACATAGCGAGTTCCAGGTCAGTCTCAACTATATAGTGAGACCCTGTCTCAGCCAACCCACTCTCAACTAAGAAATTACAGCAGTTTCCCACTGTGGGGTATTAGCATATTTTTCTTGCCTGTGTTTCCTTCATGCGGATGCGTGTGTATGGAGGTGAGATTTTCCCAGCCCTGCATGTGGAAGCCAGGGCTCTGGACTAGGCCAGCACTGCCTACTGCTGAGCTCCGCCCCCAGCCCCTGGGCTCTCCTGAGGGGGAGGCAACCAGCGGGCCCGGAGTTTGCCTGCCTGAGGTGTGAGTTCCATCAGAGAAGAGGAAAGGCCGTTTTCCGCATAGCTGTTAAGATCAGAAGACCTGGAACCTCCAAGGAAAGGGTTGGCAAAAAGCTTGCCGGCTGCTCCCACGGCTTAGTACAGGCCTGTAAATCCCAGCCGCTCTGGAGGCTGGGCCGGAAACGGCCGTTTAGTGACGGTACCAAGTCCCACCCTGCGCTAAACGCCAGCGTGGTGGCACATGCCTGTGATCCCAGCACTCGGGGGGCTGAGGCCGGTGCATCTCAAGCTTCATCCCAGCCTGGACAACTGTCCCAGAATGTGAAATGCAGGGCCGGGGATTGAACTCTGATTCTGCTGCCTGCCTCGCAAGCGCAAGGACCCGAATTTGATCCCCGGTACCCCCCCAAATTTTTTCTAATGTAAAAATAACCGACTACGGATGTAGCTGGGCGGGAGGGCCCCGATTTCAGTCCCAGTCACACACGGAGATCTGCTGTGTGGTGCTGGTCTTGGCGGTCCTGGGGGGCGGCAGGGCCTCTGCATGCCGGGCAGGTGCCCTGTGTCGTGGGGTCAGGTCCACCAGGTCCTTCATGCTGTTTTTCCTCACCCAGAGACGACCTGCTCAGAGCCATCAAGAAGCTCAAGGTGCTGGGCTCCGGCTTCGGCATCATCCCGGTGGGCGGCACCTACCTCATCCAGTCCGTGCCGGCGGAGCTCAACATGGACCACACTGTGGTGCTGCAGCTGGCCGAGGTCTGGGCCTGGGTGGCCGGCGGTGGGCGAGCGGACAGCTGGGCGAGGCTTCCTGGGGTGGGGGCTGTGACATCTCTTAAACTACACCAGGGGTCCCTCGGAAGTTTGCTGCCCTGCATGGGAAGCTGTCTGTAATCCCAGTACTAGGAGGCTGAGACAGGAGGGTTGCCAAGACTTCAAGGCCAGCCTGGGCTACACAGTGAGGCCCTGCCTCAAAGCTCCCCCAAAAGTCTTGTTTGCCGGTCCCCATTCCTCAGCATTCACCTCGCCGTGCATTTAGGGAAGATACTTTTAAATTACGTGTCGGGAAAGAACAAAGGGGGCACTGTGATGTTGGGGGTGAGGCCAAGGTGGGCGGGGGTCCATTCTTTGCCTCGGGCTGCCTGACAATGGTGGCCTCTGCCTGCCGCTCACCGGCTCTTCGCGGCTGGGCCAGCCTCTGCCCCTGGGCTCCTTTGTTGACCCCTGCCCTGCCCTTCCAGCCCTCCCAGGCCTGCCCTGGGGACGCATTCCTGCGGCCCTGATGTGACTCACCCCGTTCTCCCTGCAGAAAAACGGGTACGTGACGGTCAGCGAGATCCGGGCCAGCC